TATGAGGTGCGATCGGAAAGTTTCAAGACTGTGTCAATAGAGTGCGAACCGGATGTAGTACGAGCTTCTGCCTTTAGGGGGTGCGGCCTACATTCATAGTGAATCAGTGTGCCAGCCGGCATCATCGAATTAGCATTTGTTTCTTAGTTACGGGCGTTTTGGTAGTGCATTACACCGACCCTCCTGCGCTTTCGGAATGGCGTGTGCATCAAATTTTGCCAAAGCCTCGCCAAAACGGCTACGGAAACCTCTGAAATGCTAAAGCAAGCATTTGGGGAGTTCGCAATGGGTCGTGCACAAACTTTTGTGTGGCATTAACGTTTTAAAAATGGCCGAATCTCTGTCGATGATGACGAGCGTTCTTGACGACCATCTTCGAGCACAACGCCCGAAAATGTTACGAAGATCGACGTCGTACCATCAACGACTTGTGCGACATTGTTGGGATAGGCTATGGGACCTGTCAGCTGATTCTAAAGGAAGAACTCCACATGCGACGCATCCTGTCTGAGGACCAGAAGCAGAATCGACTTCTCGTTTGTCAGGAGCTCAAAGATCTTGCAAGAACCGAACCCAACTTCCTTTCTAAGCTCCGTGTGACTTCTTCCTCTTCCCAAAGATGAAAATTCAGCTAAAGGGAAGGATATTTGAGTCTTCAAACTTTCCGATCGCACCTCGTAGTCTAAGAAACATTTGAAGTGAAACAGATGGGCCGTGAACTTCTCGCTGTTTTGTAGGGAATCTGAAAGTAATAGAATAATAGTCATTTGAAATATTTCGGCGTCTTAATTCGTGTGTCGTTGTAACATGGCGTGCGTATTTAGCGACATGAAGGTCAGTCCTTTGAACCCTAAAGAGTACATAACTCACAATTTTGTTTTGAATGTGTTAAAATTATGCAATGCAAATCCGTTACAGAAGAATATCTTGCGATATCAACAAGATTATAACCCATGACCCCACACGTCATTCTGCTCTAGTTCAACGTCAAATGACGTCAACTATACACCAGTGATTAACAGGAAACAATCCTGTGATTCAGTACAACATTTCACACGCTGTGTTACTGTAATTTGGTCCATCGCAAATCAATTGACTGCAGTCATATAACCATTAAGTTATGTACGCATTTGCAAATAAGGTTCACTTCGCTGTGACCTTATACATCAAAGTGTACTTAACGGAGAGTTAAATTAGAACACTGTAGTGTTCTTGTCTAAATGCCGAGTGGAACTGCACAGTGACTGTGTGACCTGTCACTGCCACATTTCATCATAATGTCTCGTGGTTTGTACACTAAATTCCCCATTTATTTGTCGCTTCACGAGGGACCAACATACAGAAATATGAATGTATCTTAAGTAAAATTAAGTCTATTTTATTGCAAAATTTTATCAGGTATCAGACACACGTAACACGTGCTTCTATGCATGGCCCTAAGGTTTGAAAAATTCTAGTGATTTATCCAAAACATATTTTCTGTTATATCTTCAGCCATGACTACATTTTCGCTGCATCTCCTGAGCTTTGTGGTTTGACTGAATGCATTTCCATCGTTGGCTGATTCTTCGGTTGTCCTGTACACGCTCCCAGAGCTGCTACTTAATTTCAAATCATGTTACGAGGTGCGATCGGAAAGTTTCAAGACTGTGTCAATAGAGAGCGAACCGGATGTAATACGAGCTTCTGCCGCTAGGGGGTGCGGCCTATATTCATAGTGAATCAGTGTGCCAGTCGTACCATCAACGACTTGTGCGACATTGTTGGGATAGGCTATGGGACCTGTCAGCTGATTCTAAAGGAAGAACTCCACATGCGACGCATCCTGTCTGAGGACCAGAAGCAGAATCGACTTCTCGTTTGTCAGGAGCTCAAAGATCTTGCAAGAACCGACCCCAACTTCCTTTCTAAGCTCCGTGTGACTTCTCCCTCTTCCCAAAGATGAAAATTCAGCGAAAGGGAAGGAGATTTGAGACGATAAAAGAGATTCAGGCAGAATCGCAGATGGTGCTTGACAGGCTGACAAAGAAAGATTTCCAGGGATGCTTCCAGGCTTGGCAGCGGCGCTGGGATCGTTGTGGTCACTCCCAGGGGAACTACTTCGAGGGTGATGGATGAATTGAATACCTGAGATAAGTGTACGGGTTTTTATACGAGTAGTCTGGAAACTTTCCGATCGCACCTCGTATAAACTACTGTGGCATTTGAACCGTGGTAAATGTAAGATACTTTGTTAGTTTAAAAACAAATGAAGAAATATGATTATCTTAAATTAATTCGGAATGGATAAGATAGATTAAAAAAAATTAAACGAAGTTTCCAAATGTGCTTTTTGAGATTTTCCACCCGATTACTGGTTTCGATGTTAATTTCTTGCTGATACAAATTTACTGTTAACAATCTAATCGACATTAAACATATTTCACAGTATAAAATAATAGGTCTATACATAGCCATATAGACAGGTTCCTACTTAACCCGAGGTCCGAGAAATGCTACAGCTGAAAGTTTAATTTCCTACTGTTTTATGTAGATTTTTTTTCAGAATCTTGTTACTGATGTCATTTTCGGTCAGAAATGTCGTGTCGACATGATCCCGATTCTCAACAGTCATGGCGCCGTGATAGAAATTACTGATAATCTGAACGGTCAAAACACTATTATGGACGCAGTTCCGCAGTGACTGCGCATCAACACTTGAGTCGACACGTGACTGAGTACCCGAATAAGTAGTTCCGTAGTCAACGGATTAGTCGTGGTGGTCCACTGCGGTCGCCTGACCTCACTCCCTCCAGACTCCCATGTTTGGTGTTGCATTAAAAAATGCTGTGTTAACGCAAATTTAACAGGGGAGAGGAATTATATCATCTGAATTTGATGACTGTCATGTTTAAATCATCTTTAATTTCAAATATACAATTTCTTAACTGAATTTAAATTCATATGAAATGTCTGATTGGAAATGAACCCAGGAGCGAGGTCCTCAAATGTGGAGGTAAGGTCGCCGGACAGTCTGTATATTTACGATTTGTTTTAATATTATACTCCAGTCTTTGCCTTGACCTGACAAGTGGTATCGTCCCTTGAGGGGGGTTTTTACCCCTGGACCACCAGTCCTTCGGCTAATGCTGTGTGTAGAGAAGCCGTGGAGCCTGTGGCTGTCATTATGCGGATTGCTCTGTTCCAGGTACTGGGCCGTCACGAACGTGGATTACATCCACACCCGGAACGGCACCCGGATCGGCGTTATGATTGTGGTGGTGTGGTCTGTGGCACTGGTTGTCTCTCTTGCACCACAGTTCGGCTGGAAAGACCCGGATTACCTAGACCGTATAAACCTTCAACAGCGCTGCCTCGTGAGTCAGGACGTGGCCTATCAGATATTCGCCACCTGCTCCACGTTCTACGTCCCTCTACTCGTGATCCTCGTGCTATACTGGAAGATATTCCAGACGGCAAGAAAGCGGATACACAGACGACGTCAGCAAAGAACGACGGTAGGTGGGAATGTCGCATCTGGTGGCGGGACCACTAACAAGTCTTCTAACAAGAACCCTCCACCACCGACAGCAAACGTATGCACTAGTAGGTTTATAACTAGAAAGAGATTCAAAAGAATCAAATCAAACAAGTCTTCTGCCGCAGAAGCGTTAGTATCTTCGTTAATACTTGTCGAAGGACATTCCACGGCATCTGTGGACGTTACCGGCGAGGAAGACGGTGACACAGTCGACCAGAGTCAGAAGAACTCTGATACAAGCGGAGCGTCTGGAGCCGAGGGCTGTAGTGATGCAGGAAACTTGAAGGACGCTCATAGTGTTACTAGCGTTGCTGTTGTGGACGGTGCTAAGGTAGTCACAACGGCTTTTACTATTTGTAAGAGTATAGACGAATCTAGCGGTGCAGTTAGTAGTGGGGACGGTGTCGGCCCCTTGACAGCCACTCCTAATAACGTTTCGCCTGAAAAGTCTTCTGCAGCGACGACGACCAACAACGGATCTGCGAGTCATCAGAGCCACGTCAGTGACGTAAGTCGCGCTGAGATTCTGCAGAGGGAGTCTTCGAACGTGACCGCTGGGGGTGGGAACGCGAAGGAGAAACTGTTGATGACGAACAATCAGAGACGTGACAAGAAGGAAAGTCTTGAGGCGAAGAGGGAGAGGAAGGCTGCCAAAACTTTGGCTATCATTACAGGAGCCTTCGTCGTGTGTTGGTTACCGTTCTTTATAATGGCTCTCCTAATGCCTCTGTGTGACGCTTGTTATATCAATGACTACATGCAGAGTTTCTTCTTGTGGTTAGGATATTTCAACTCCACGTTAAATCCTGTGATTTACACAATTTTCAGTCCTGAATTTCGTCAGGCTTTTAAACGAATTCTTTGTGGGAGTGGCAGAAGATCGGCATCAAGAATCTTCAGACTGGGAAAACTTAGGTAGAAACTAGAAATCCCTTGAAAATAACAAAAATTTTTAAGGCCTACTGACGATTATTTACACGTTATAAATATTAAAGTATGGAAGTTGCTGTGTGGAACAATTTTTTTTTTGTTTATTTTGGAGCAAGTGGGCAATGACAACGAAGCCTGATATCTCATGTTAATATGTATAAATTAAAGTTTGTTGTCAAGACTTTGTATTTCCCAGATAGTTGATAGCTGTTATTTTAAATATACCGAAGTAAATGTTACATTAGATTTAATAGACAGAAGAGAATTAAACTACCACGTCTTTCTTAGTAGTCGCGTATACATATGGGAATCGTTGGGTTACGCTCCAATGTTCATAGGTTGCCATTTCGTATTTAAAGTTGGATAGTAAATTTTAAACAAGTAGTAATTAGTAAAAAAATCGATATGTTTATTGTCGCGCAGTTATAAATTGTAGGCTAAGAGATTAATTTATAAACGTACTTGTGAAACATAATTAATTATTAATATTCTAATGGTCTGTTGTAAAGACTATTCCTAATTTCGGTGAAACGGGCAACAACTCTTAAAATGTAAATAATACGAAAGGGCTGTACCCGAAATGTCGCTGTTACAGGCTACATGAATCTACAAGGTGCTTCGATGTTGTTTATTACGTATATCTCGTGTTTGTGGACAGAAAGTAGGGTAAAATATAACGTGTAGATTAGGTTAACGCTGTGATAACTTTAGTTACCGCAACTTCCCATGATCCTTGTAGTTAGACGAGCTAAGAATTTCTGGTACAGCCTTTGTTTTTATAATCTGTGACGTATGTAAATTAGCGATAAATCAGATTCGTAGCTTCATTTTATTTGTAACCAAAGTTTATCTTATGTCAGGAGCCTTTAGTCTCAAGGGAATTCGTGTTTACTGAGCTGTATTAGGGTCTACTTTGAAGAGCTTTTCATTCTTAACGTTGCTACTCTGATAGCCTTTTTGTATAGGAAATGAATTGTGACATATTAATTGTTCTCCGGTGCTATGTACGTTATAATGTTTTGCATACATGAATTGTTTATTGCTGGCAGTACGTGTACTTCCAACATATAATACTATAATAATAATAATAATAATAAATCTTTGTATAATTATATTAATAATCCTTGGCTTATGTGCATGTATATACGTAATGCATTCTTTGGGAATGTTATCAAAAGAATTTAATCAAACACCGCACCCAGGTTACTTTTTTTTTCCATAATTCGTACAAAATATATTGGCCTACGCAAAGTTAATCGCCAGATTCCTGTATTTTATAAATTAAACAAGTATTAATATAATCTACCATCACAGTTGCAATATTGAGACACGTATAATGCGTCAACATCTTTGCTTTCCGGTAAATACTTGTGCTCATATTTCGTGTTGACATCATATCTTCTCATAAAATTATTTTAATGACTGTACAAAACGTTAAATGAGAGTAATTTAGTACGAAGGTAAAAAAAATGTGGGACTTTTATGTGATCTCTGAAATCATTTCTATACGTTCTACGTTGAAATAGATCACGTAAACGCAACCATATCAGTATACAGTGTTTATAACGGCATAGCCCTCTGTTGTTAACTCTGTAATAGAGACGGTTCATATTATAATATTACTCTGCACAATTGTACTTTTAATGTACGTGGGCATTCATTACTGAAGGTGGCAACTGGCATCTGGAAGCTAATAATATCTACAAATGTCAAACCAAATAATTTCCGCGGTGATGAGAGTTCACGTATTTTAGGTGCAATTGAACGCGGGATATATATAGCATGCACGTAAATAAACTGCGTTCATAGATGTAATTTCTGCAATCAATCGTTTATAATTACGTGTTTACATATTTTCGAAGTCCACATCGTTTTATAATCTTTATTAAAAAAAATACTTAATCCTGTGCGTCTGTTAGATGATAACAAACCACGGTTTTATATTAACAGCAACTTCCAACAGAGAATTATTTATAAGTAATTTAATGCTTATTGTAATTAATATTTTCAACATTTTTAAAGAAAGTAATTAATCCTGAATTATTCAACTTTAATGAATTAATAATACTTTATTTTAAAAGGAAAATTTTACGAAAAGCACACGCCCACTAAATTCTAACACATTGAACAGAAATAATTTGACCATTAATATTTCCTTCAATATTTATATTTGATATTCCAATGTGAAACGTATTTTTTAAAACTGAGTCATCATAAAAGCAGTTTAGATGCGTTTGTATGTTCGTTTGACCCTAGATGTTGAAGCATGAAAGGTTAACTCTGAACGTCAGTTTCGTCTACATTTTACTGTTACTGACGGCAATATAAATGTTACTCTCGACTCAGTCATTTACGTCTGCAGCAAGCCAGGACGCACTGCGACGCCTTGTAGCCAAAGCCGTGGCTACACGAACGGGAAATGACAAATTCTTACGATGTTAAAATATTGCGTATCATAAAAAATGAATTTGTGAAATATCGTGATACAAAAATATCAACAAATTCTTAAACAAATATTAAGAACATAATCACTTAATCTGGGCGGGTTTATGATAATTGAAGTTGAGATTTAATATCGGAAGAAAAGAGAAAATTTGTCAAAAGTGTTTCAGTTCTTGGTATTTAACAGAACGTGGAGTTGAAATAATCCAAAAAAAAAACCTCTATTCTGTTTTTCAAGTGGTTTCAAGTGACAAGGAACAACATGGTGTAGTTTGAGAGATTCAAGTGACGTTATTTTATTTTAATAACTTTTAAATCGTATCATACATCAGTAAGCGTAATAAAGCAGTCTCCAACGTGCTTTATCAATTCAAGAATTTCTGTGTAATTTAATAATTAAATATGCAGTGAAAGTTGTGAAGAAAAATGTACCCTCTACTCGTGTATTAATTATGCAAAGCAAATTGTGTAATGAGTATGTCTAGAAGAAGACTTTGCAATCAAGGAAGTGTTTATTAATGTAAAATACTAAAGTTTTTGTGTTTGTGAAAATCCATGCCCAGATGGATCAAATGAGTACTTTTAGTCTGTATATCATGCCGTTGTGCGTGTTTCATAATATTATCGCAGTTATATTCTGCTACATCTGTGTTATTTCATGAATGCAAATTTTTGCCAACAACGTTGTTGTTACGTATCCATATACAAGTGTAAATACAATAAAATAACAACAATATGAAACTGCTGTTTGGTGTTCTGAGGATATCCGTGATTTTGGTTTTGGTTCGAAGTTTTCGCATTGTCATCTTAGATCTAAGAACTTGGGTTTTTGTCGATTTGTGGTTTTGTGTATTACTACGCCGTGTAGACTCGTAAGTTGCAACCGGTGTTTTGGAGAATCAAGTTGCTTAAGTTATGGAGTTGATCCATTATTTATCACTTACAAGACTACACAAACGAGAATACCACAAAAGACATTTTCACATCTGTGGAAACCTCAGGTCTCTGTGAATTTTTCCACTAAAAATTGAACTTCCGCGTGTGTCACGTCGCGTCCTCTACCTGCCATGTCTTCAACTTCATTCGCCGTAAGGGGCCATTCTTACGCAAACACTTCCGGGTGTTAAACATCTTCCTTACATAAGATTTCAGTCTTTAACGACAGCTGAATACAAGAAAGTGTTCTCGGCGATCGGCCAGTCATCGAGTTATAATAAGCGTTATTGATATTATGTCTTTCTCCATCATCCCCCTGATAACGGAGAAAGAAACTGTCTCCGAAACATTAGATTAAAGTCGTATTTACATGGCTGATTGCCCTAGAAGCCTTTATAGCATATTTTTCACTAATAAACATATGTGGTTAGTTGAGTACCTAAATTGCATGGACTATACTATTTTATTTATTTAGTGTTCTGTCTGACGACAGGTCCATATGAACAGGATCCTTCCATCCTTTTCTCGGACTGGGACCTGTTCATATACGTTCTTGGCAGATGATCCAGAAGTGGTTTGCCATTGCCTTCGTCTGTGTGTGAATGGAGTAATTGTTGCCACGGAGAAACCGGGGAAGCCCCCAGAGGAAAACTCCGTGTTGCCTAGTATAATTTCTAAACGTCAGCACGGACGAATAGAGTGTTGGCAGTCCAGGATCTGAAAACAAAGCGTGTCGTAACGTCGCCCCACAGAACCGTCTAACCTCAGGTCTCCCGGTTTATTCTCGACATTCACAATTTCGAACTGTGACGGCCTTCAAATGCCTTTGTGTTATTACACACAGCGACCCGGTCGGACACTGACCCAGGAGCTTCATTGGCGTCTGTGGGGCAAATTGTATTGTCTGCATTTTAAGAACGTAAATACGTTTTTTCCAACCAAAAATATGTTTGTGCTCACTGTCTCCAGAAGATACTTTCCCAGCACATTGTTCTGCCGCGAGGCGTCCCACCGACAAATGTCTTTTGCAACGTCGGAGTCTACTTCGATTTTAATTTTCCAGGAAGACGGAAAGCGTGAGGAGGAAATGAGCGGTGGTCACGTGACGCCACCTGACGTCAGCCGGGTCTCCGGCAAAATAGCGTCCTCTATACAAGAACTCATGCGTAAAACGAGGTCCTGCGTCTACCTCTTTCCTTTGTCTCCCCTCGGTAAGTCCTCAGAGAATGTGATAACGCTCAGATATCTAGAAACGAGAGTAACAGATCAGAATCGTATTTCACGAAGAATATAAAAGCAGATTAATTTTTTAAGAAGCTTGGTGTTGTTCAGCAGTTCAGAATCGATTTATTTCCCCTCCTCTATATTAAAAAATGATGTATTCTAATTTTACATGTTGTTTTGTATAATTGTATGAGCCGGGATAGCTCAGTCAGTATAGTGACTAGCTACGGGCTGGACGGCCGGGGTTCGATCCACGACGGGGGCAGAGGATTTTCCCTCTAGCCTCTGCGTCCAGACCGGCTCTGGGGCCCACCCAGACTCCTTTACAATGGGTACCGGGGTCCTTTCCCGGGGGTAATGCCGGCCGGGGCGTGAGGCTGACCACTCACCCCCATCTAGTGCCGAGGTCAAGGAAGAGAGGAGCTATACCTCCTCTCCCCCCAAGCGCCTACATGGCGTATAGTGGGATAAACTTTACTTTACTTTACTTTGTATAATTGTGAAATTTTCTCTAGCATCCAAATTCAAAAGGGGGCAGAAAGATGGTTTTTGGTAATAAAGTGTAAATATTTTTATCTAATAACATGTAAACAACAGAAGCATAAATATAATTTCGTGATGAAGAGCTTCTTAATTATGCTCTTTGCAAAACATTATTAGGACCATCAAATCAAGAAGAATGGTATGGACGAGACACGTTAGAATGCATGAGACATGCTAAATTCATCCCGATGTTTCGTAAAGCAAACCGAAACACTATGGAGTCATAGGAAAAGAATACAGCACAAATTTAAAATGTATCTTTGACCAAATATTTCTTAGAGTGTGGACGTGTTTCGACCAACCCAAAATCGCGTCCAGAGGCGGGATCTTATGCATTAGCGTAGGGGACCACGTGACACGAACCAATGTTCCTGAGCGTCATTGATCGACATTTTCCTTGCTGCGTTGTTATAGCTACGCAGGAAGATCGGAGGTTTCTGAGAGGCTGGACTCAATTGTACGGAGATTTTGCGAATTCTATGGGTCATTTTCAAACGGGCCCGTCCTGTTCAGGATCACTGATAACCTTTCGTGTCACGTCAGGTTTTAGACGCGTTCCCAGCTGAAATTTATAAAAGTTCGCCTCTTGGTTTCGTTATGTCTTTATGCCTGTCTGTCCGTCCATTCACATCGAACAAATGGAGAACATCTGAACGGACTTTTTACCAAATTTGGTATTTGGTAGTTTTATTTATATTTGTCGGTATAATTGTTTTTTATTATAAATATTATATCAATGTGACGGACACGTTTATGATCGTTGAAGTACCTCGGTGCGGATTATGAAAAGGTTAGCTCCATTCGTATTATATCAGTACTGTTACCTTACGTTTATTTTAAAGTGAGCTTAAAGTCGAGTGTCATTACTGAGTTCAGGTCCTCAGCGGCTTGTTCTCAGTTTAAGTAAACCAGTTTCGCGCCACCAACTCTGTAGCTACATTAAGTCAAGCAGGGTAGCACAACGGTAGTGGAACCAGCTAATATTTAAGAAACAGGAAGGCCTAATATCTTCCTACTCCTTTCGTTTATTTCTTCAGTTTCTTTAGACTATCGTTGGGACGACAACTTTACCATCTTTTCACTTTATCAGTTGATTCAGTTTCGAAAATAATTTACCCCCTGTTTTATGATGTGTTATTGTTTTAATTGTATGGTTATACTTCATTTTATGAAATTTAAACATGGTGATGAACTATAATAAATCGGCGAGAGCGCTACAAAGGACCAGATTTGTTACGCAGCAGCCCTGAGGATGGCAGCAGAGATAGCTCTCGAAACGTTGACAAAAGATACGGTTTATTCACCATTCAACCACCTGACGCGGCTCGTAACCCGAGAGTTTTTTATCAACTTTAGTCGCCGAGAAGGTTTCACTTTATATATAGTGTAATTAATACGGTTTTTAAATGACGTAGTCCTGGGGAGTGTGAAGGCATTGTCTCGACATATCCCTAGAAGGGCTCAGTAAACCCACTAAATTCCTTAAAAAGTCTTGTCGACAGTGTCTTGAAAGAATCCACTAGAGCCTAAACCAATTAACACGCGAATATAACAGCTTTTATACAGGGTGAGTCGAAAGTATGTTTGGAAAATTTAAGGTTATGTTCCAGAACGCAGGATAATACAAAAAATTTCTGTGAACACGGGGTCTAAAATGCTTTCTTTCCTAGATATTATAACTGAACGGAGAACACACGTTCCTGTTACAAAGTGTTTATTACGATGTGTCTAATTCTCGATTTTGAAACAGGTGTTTAAAATTCGATCTCTCCACCTGTACACATGCCCGAGCACCTTGAACAGTGGACTCACGAACACACCATAGCTCGTGTCGTGTGTTAACGGGCGTTGCATACACTGGACCTGGACGCCGCCTTGGACCTGTGGGGTCACTTGAAGTCGCTGGTGTATTCAACGCCATTTAACACTCTGGAGGAGCTTTGGCGACGTGTATGGGTTCCGACCCCATGTTCATAGAAACCTCTCTATTTTTTTTGTTCCCAGAACATACACTTAAATTTTCCAAACATACTTTTGACTCACTCTGTATACGTGAACACGGTGACAAACATTAGGGTTCCATAAAAGTTTGGGAGCTTTTAATCTGCTGAGCGACTAGCAGCGTATCATGGAATACTATGCTGCATTGAGGTTTTTATTGTTATTGTTATTTAATGTAAACTTTGTATTTGACTCCTTCTTCTATAAATGAGAATGTGAATGAGACACACGCTTGTTAAGGAAAGCAGATGACAGAAGAAAGGAGTGTGAGAGAAGTTTGAATAATTAATAATGGTAGCCGTATTCCTTCCTCTTCGAGATTTCAATTACAGAAGCTTCGCTGAGATCTGGCTTACACAATCAAATTAGAACGTACACTTCTGTAGACGTACAGAAAGTCTTGTTTTACAATATTTAACCAAATAGCCCATTCTTTGACGTCAACTCTATTTGAGTACACACTGAGACATGAGGTTGTCCCATTGGGACGGCAACTAATTTTAGGCTGGTACAATGAGCTGTTGAATTTCAAAAAACTAAAATATTTTTTTTACTTCACAATCCACGTATAATATGAGTACTTATGTGATTACATAACCCTTTTGGATCTATAAACGAGATACTTAATTTAGAAACAGTGGCGTTGTATGCTAGGAATATCTTTATTGTTCAAAAATTGTCGGTGGAAAAACCTTGTTACGTTTCTTGCTGTAAATCTCAATTGTTAATTACTGCTTGCTATGGTAATATGAAAACAAAGCAAAGCATTCCAGTCTTCATCTGTCACTTAAAGTTTTCAGACTGCAGTAAACCTTTGTCCAAAGCAAAGGACATCTTCCTCGAAAACGGAGCGTTCGGTGAATCCGCGTTGAGCGAAGTCAGTATTGCATTCGATTAATGGGGATACGGGAACAAAACTGTGTAATATGAAAGTAAATAAATAATTAAATCATAAATACACTGAAATGATATTTATTTACGAATAAACTTCGTAATATAATATATCATCATTGAAAAACTAAGCATTAAATTACAATATCAGCTTAAAATTTGACCTCAAAATATCCGCGGAATGTCAGACCAAGTGCCACTGCGCTCATAACACCGCGCAGTTAACCTATAATCTTTATTTTATCACAGAGTGTCGTGACCTTACATCTTTTCTTCAATATCACTCGTACATTTAGGTTTTGATTACATAACGCCGTTCAAGGACAATATTATACGGGACTAAAATTCGACACATGTTAACGGGGACTGAGACCCCGAGTCACAGGCGATTTATGAGCCGTAGAGGGGGTGAGAGACGCGGCAGGAAGGTTGAGCTGAATATTTACTCTTTATACGAGGTGCGAACGGAAGGTTTCCAGACTGCGCGTATAAAAACCCGTACACTTATCTCAGGTATTAAATTCATCCATCACCCTCGAAGTAGTTCCCCTGGGAGTGAACACAACAATCCCAGCGCCGCTGCCAAGCCTGGAAGCATCCCTGGAAATCTTTCTTTGTCAGCCTGTCAAGC